ATTTTTTAACATGCATTCTATTAATAGTACGTAATGATAGAAACCGAAAAAGATTCACAAACATTTAATTTTATCTATTTCCTTAACAACTTCGTTTTAAATGTAACTATCTTGCCATGTTATTTTTACAGATTTCAAACTATAAATGTTCTAATTTTTCTTTTTCATTAAGCCAATTTTGAAAAACTCGGTATTCTATTTCTACGACTAAAAAACAGCATTTTAAGAATTCAGAATTGTGATTTTGCTTGATTTTTTTTATAAAATGTGTTTTGAACTATTCGAAGAAGACGAACGAATAAATATGTCGAATCAAACGTTTGCGGTACTTTTTAAAACCACAACTTCTGTAAATAGAAATATAAGGGTAAGAACGCGTTGTGATGGAGACATGATAAACAAAGTGAACGGTAGTGAATAAATCGTATGCAATAAATTTACCAAATTGAAGAATATATGCAAACTAAAACACAGGAATGTAACACAACAAATTAGTAACGCATTTTTAATGTTAGATACCTGAATTTAATATTTTTTTTCTTGTAAATGGTGCGTAATAGTATTTTAAAAGAAATGTAGCGCCTCTGCATATAAGTACCATAAAAAGCAAGTAAAAGGAAACAAATTTTGTATGCTCATCAAAAAATTCTATAGGTAATATATTACTTCACCATTTATTCAATTTAACAATTCATGCCTATACAATTGATTAACTTTCTTTATGAATAAAAGTAATTCTTTCAATTAAATATGACAGACAACATGGAAAAGCTTTGCTTAGAACAGCGTATCGATAATAAGAGATAACCATAAGTATAGATTCATCAAATTAATATTCTTGGTCATTTTTGACTCTTACAGTTTATTACAGTACATTGTCAAGATTGCGTATTAAGATATTCTGCATCGCACCACTATTCTCGAAACTCTAGAAATGACTGATATATTCTACTTGTACGATACTCAAGAATAGAATGAATGCCTAATAAATATTAATCAGACAAACTCTCAAATTTATTGCTTACATCGATGTTGCTCATACAAAAATATGTTCTTTTTGAGTAAACCATCGCTTACGAAAGGAATCTGTTGTAAATTTGATGCTTCTACAACTTTTTGTCGAACATCACGCAACATTAGTGAGATGTCCTCATTTGGAGTCGTTGTGTGTTCCAAAATATGTTTTGTAAACAAACCATTTCGTTGCCCTTGTCCATCCATGACTATAGTGCCAGACGCACAAGCAAAAGCAATCAATGATCTGGTCTTATCCATTGGCTTGAAGTCAGCTGATTTGGAATCACTTGAATCATCTCGTGCATATATTTCGGTATTACGTTTGTGATAGTTTCTACAGCAATCCAATAAAAAGATCGTTACAAATGGATCTCGATCACTTAAAGTATTGAGAACATTTTGTGCATTAATTGCACTTCTATTCAAATTTACACCATCAATTTTGAGAATATGTTTTGGTAATAAATAATTTTGATCCTAAAAGAATTCATATACAAACCTTGTATCATAAGTTAAAACAATTGTGTATTGAAAATGTGGATATATACTTCCCATTGTGTCCCATGTACAGCAAAATAAAACAGGACAATATCGCCTGGCTCAATTGAATCTTCAAATTCCACAAGAATACGTTTCATGTCGCCACGCGTTGGATGCAATACTGGTGTAACGATGAAACCAATGCTCTTCAGTGCAGCTGGCATGGCATTTGCATCATTTTCAGGATTAGAGAGTGGGTCGATGTTTTCATATTTTGCAATACCAATGGCAAGTGCTAACTTTCGTTATCGCTTCTTTGGGGGGGGGGGGGGGGTGGAGGGTGTCTGTCATATTTAATTGAAAGAATTACTTTTATTCATAAAGAAAGTTAATCAATTGTATAGGCATGAATTGTTAAATTGAATAAATGGTGCGTAATAGTATAGTCGATCTGAAAAATATAACTGACTTACAAAGAAAAGAAAATTCGAACACCGGTAGAAAAGAAAATGGATAGTAACAGGTCCTATGGTATTAGACAAACTCATCATTCTTTAAAATTCTAAACTACAAATGACTCACACGACACAGCAATGCTAACTATTTCAAACTAGGATGTATTTTTGTTTAATAATTTCAATTAGAAACGAAAGATGCTGATAAAACTACAATCTTGATTTAAATATAGTAAGTAATCCCGATCACCAGCCACTAGTATACCTGATGAACTTTTCTTACAATTTTCCATTAACTAGGCATATGGTATTGAAATAAATTGTGTATTTGGTTTTCTGATCTTTGAAAATATCGTACTCAGTAGATCCCAATATTTGACGCAAAAAATATTTTATAAAATTTCGATATTGTTATGTTTTTTTTTTTCGAAGAATTCGTTTGTTTTGCAGTATGAGTATGACCGTACGTTTTACTTTTGTTTCTATTTACATTGCCTCCTTCTTCTTCTGCCGCTTTTTCTTTTCAGAATATTTTCAAATATGGTTAAGATAAGCTACACATATACGCTGCACACAAATGTGTGTGTAGCTTATCCTATGCCATTTGAACCAATATAATTATTGTCCATTTTCTACTTTCATGCATCCAACAATTATTTGACGTGATATCGGTATTATCAGAGCTGGCCCGAATCGGGGTTGTTGGGGTTGCGACAACCCACTAATAATTGTGATACAACCTCAATATATACGATAATTTCTCGATTTTTACTTAATTATAACCGAAGGAAGTATATCTACTACATCATATAACTTTGTTTTCAGTGGAGTAGTCAGCTAAAAAAGCATTTTTCATTGTATATTTTTTTATTGATTTGTTCACTTAACCTACATCGATATCACAGCGAAAAACGTGTTTATTGTCATAATGATGAAGTGCCCGTAATATTTATTTATACATCGGTGAATGGCGCTGAAATTAAACCATTTATGCGAAAAGCATCGAAAAAAATGAAGGTCAAGTGATGAAAGATTTGACTTGTGCATTCAATGGAGCGTTACCCGTTATATACAATTCAAGTTTTTTCCCGAGTGTTAGGCTTTTGTTTTAAGGCAAACATTGATTTCGAAATAAATGAGCGATTCGAGATTGATAAAATACAAGTTGTAATTAAAATGAGCTACTATTTTCGTTTCCTTTTTTTCCTTGGTCTGCAACTGACAGTAGAAATTAAATATGAAACCATATAAAAATATTAAGGTTTCTAGATGGTGAGAATCTACTTTATAAATGAATTCAATTTCTTATGAACATAGACTTTTTACATGATAGTAAACGAGACAAACTCACGTATATCGATTATTTCAGGAATTAAGAATCTTCAATAAACATCTATAACAGTTTCTCAATCGAGACAAGTCAAAAGTAATCAAAGAAGATAAAAAAAAAGTTTTTCTCAAAATATCTGTCGTATTTATCTGTTGTGACTTTCTCTCAAAAAAAAATCTGTTAAAATTTTTTGAATAAATGTCATTTTGGCTCTTAACGAAGAGCTGATATTTTGACCGTTGTAAACTAGTAATCGAAGAATCAAAATATGAAGATGAAGCTTTCCTTGTATTTAGTGCGATCAACAACAGTCAGTTAATTGCTTCGATTTTCTTACATTTCTCATTCTTTACCCGATTACATAAAAAAGATAGTTGATTTAGCTTTTAGAAAGTCTTTAGTAGCTCAAATTTAGCTCATCGTGAATAAAATGGTCACAGTGGATGCTTGCACATATTTGTTAAATTTAACCAGGAAATTAAAACCGAAGCGAGGATCAATTTAAACACATCAAACAAAGAGAACTAGAGCTACTAATTGCTGCAAGATGCTTCTTTTGGTCAGTAAGAATTATAAAATATAAAAAATAAATTTTCATTGAAAAGTATGGGCGAATGACTTTAATTATGATCTTTCTTATTTGAAAAATCCTTAGCGAAACAATCGAAATTCGTAATAATTTCCTGGTAAGTAGGACGTACTGAACGGAGCATTTTAAAAACAATTAGTCGCATCGATTAAGTCAAAGTTAGGTTATAAGATTTTTGTATTTCCAAAACAAATGGTTCAATGTCATCGCAATTCACTCAAATATAATTAAACTGTATTATTTTTTGAAAATGACTGAGAAAGAAGTATATACAAAATGAATTGTTAGGATCAAGCAATAATAAAACTAGCAACTATTATTTACATAAAATATTAATTACTATTTTTTCCTCAGAATATACGTGTAAACAGACTATTATTTCACTATGCTTCATATGAAATCGGATCAAACTATTTGAAGTCTGTTTTTTTTTTATAACGACGCTATGAAATCCATGTTATTAAAAAGGGGTTTAAAATCTGATCAAAGAGTAGAAAATATAAGAGGTATGTGATCAAGTTCGAAGCGAAAATTTATGAAAATCAAATTTTTAATTAGTCTTCCGTTACTTTTTGATTCTCTAATTAATTGATTTTGTCATTTTTATTCATTGATTTTCTTTCTCTTCTAATTCAGAAGCACCTTCTCACATGTATTCGTTCAAATATTATGTTCACATGTCACTCAAAGACACAAACAATAACAAATTTTTCTAAAATGATGGTGATCACGTTTCGTCTTCTGTAATTACAAAATATTGATATAGAGCAATTCTTCTGAATAAAAAGATGAAATTCATAAGCAATTCTATGAAAATATGTATCCTAAACCTACAGTATAATTGAATTATGTGAATCATGGAAAACTCCAATTCGTGTCTAAATACGTGTTTTGAATCTTTAAGCAATTTAGTCTTTGATTGACTGAAGTAAATATTTCTTTTTCTTTTTGCTATCAATGGGATTACATAATAGAATTCGTCTTGAAATAAATTTCTTAATTCATCTTTTTAATATAAGGCATTGCTTTACTTCTATATTTGACAAGATAGGAAAAGAAAAAGAAATAAACACGTGCTTATACAATTTCGCGGGACAGGACAATAAATTTATATTGTTCCATCCCACAACAATCGACTTTGGTCTCCTCCCGTCCCATGAAGCTTTTTTAATTTTTCGTCCCGGGACGGGACTTATCCGGCCTCCCACGGAGCTCTGGTCGGAACTGCAATAGATGGCGTGATATTTTTTTGGTGGTGATAAATTTCACGTTATGATTTCCATATTCAGACTCCCAAAACATTCAGTTTAATATCAAACATGCAAGTATTTAACTCATGTTTAGAGACTAGCAAGAAACTTCGAAACTCTATTTCAACCGCAACTCCGACAGAATCAATATTGGGTTTTGGAATAAAAACATGGCTCCGCAGATCTATGCGCACGTTGTAAAAAGGACACTACACAGCAACAGAAGCTGATTAAATGTTCAAGTATTTTTCATGGAAAGTGTAGCTCTGATTATGCCCATGAACAATTAGAACAAGAAGAAATATGTATTATCAATATATATGTCAGCGTCCAATCTCGGATTCAGGCCAATCTTTAATTCGCCTAAGCCAGTGTTGGATAAAAAAAAATTTTCAATAAAACCTTCATATTTCTATGTCCGATTGTACCAAATGAATGATATTTTGAGTATTGTCTAAGAATAAGGAGGAGAACATGAGGGTGAGGGTTAGGATGGATATTATTATGTTAGCGGTTAGTTTCTGATGAATTTATGTTTTAGGAAAAACCCCCTTTTGTTTTCTTAGTGTAATTAGAATAGCCTTGATTACGGTTTCAAACACTCAAATACTATAACACTAACATTTACTCAAAATATCATTCATTTTCTACAACCGGACATAGAAATATGAAGGTTTTATTGAAAAATTTTTTTATCCAACATTGGCCTAGGCGAATCAAAGATTGGCCTGAATCCGAGATTGGACGCTGACATATACATGAATTTATAAGATGAACTATCTTTATTGGATAGCTATTAAAAATAAAAGGTTTAATGATATAGGCTCCACTGAAAAGTATAAGTGACAGTTGATTTGAAGATTAAATTAATCGAAAATGAAAATTCTAATCGACCGAGAAAGAAAAAAACTGAGATCTTATAGCTACACGAAGTAAAATAAGACCATAGTTACATAAACCTACATCTATTGGAATAAATTATAAAATGTCAGGACAAAATCGGGAGAATACACACGCTACGAGACATAATACGTGTCTCCAACACTTTCTAACGAGATCGAAGCTCTTCATAACAAAGATCTAGTGAAATGTTCAAGTGATGCAAACAAAATAATATCAGAAATGATTACTTTTCTTTTCGAAAATCATGATTTTACATTCGAAGAATTGATAAAACAAGATGGTCAAACAGAAAAATAAAGAACTAAAATTACAAGAATTCTTGAATGAACGCTATGCTGGAAAATCGATTCTTTAAAGAACGAAAGCAATATGCATCTCCACCCAAACGCAGTATAGCTAAACAAAAAGAAGTCAAATCAGGGGAGGTCTAAAAGCTGATTCACGTTTATTTTTCAATGGCTTCATCTTCTATAGTGTTTATATCGTTCATAGTACAAGTTTTATTGTTCTCGAAGAGGAAATGACAATAATCTCTAAAGTGCAATAAAGCGAACTATAATATTTTATTCTCGCTTTTAATAAGGGTTTCCAATAATCGTTTTCGTTTAGCTATTATTCGAAATCTAGTCTAATATTTTGAAGTTCGGTTTTGTTGTTGAAATTGATTGATGATTTCAAGAATGCTTCATTGACATCTCTGAAAGTTCATCATGTGAACTATAAGCTGTTACAAAATCATAAGAATACTATAGCGTACTTGCTGGTTGATAAGAAATTAATTGAAGATGATAGCCTTGGTTAATCATTGTCAAACGGCATATGAAATTTTTGCCAGATATCTATTACTGAATCATATCACTCGATATTGCTCGTCAAAGTAAATGAATGTGGACTATTTAGATAATCGTCATAAAAGCTAATGATGGATCCATGTTAATGAATGAACGATCTCATCACTGTCAAAAGCCACGGTGGCTTCCCCAAACGATTGATTTATTGACAAAGAACAAAAACACTACAATGAATATCATTGAAGTCGTTACGAAAGCGTTCTGTTCCCATGCACGTTCATTCATGATTATATAGCTCTTCGCTATAAGTACTGTTATATTTGAATTTATCAAGAAAACAAAGAATTTGAGCGAGCTTATTATTTATCTAATGTAATGGTTTGACGTTATTTTGTTGGTGTTGAAACAATAATATGACTCTAGTCTAGAACAAAATAAATGAATTGCTAGAAACTGTTTATTTAAGATCGGTAGCTTCAAAATAAGCTTAATATGAAAAAATTGTTTATTTTTCACAAGCCATAGATGCATCGAACTCTGCCAATAAATTAAAAAGTTTGTCTTGGATTTGCATTGCATTGATAAATTTTAAATAATATAAATATTCAAATTTTCCATTTCGAATGTATGAACAGGTATTGGTTGTGTAAAGAATTTCTCCTGCTTGTTTATATTTGAACATAATCATACAAGAAAAAAATAGAAAAGTTAGATATATTTGATCGGTAAAGTAATATTGTATTGCATTAGACTGTTTAGACTGGGCGTTTCGCATTCGTCACTAGATAGTTGTATTTTTTTAAATGGTTTCTGTTGTTATTTTTCTGCTCGTTTCAGAGATTTAATATTAATCAAATGATTATATTTATTTAATGTTGAGTTGAAATGTTACTTTGAAAACGATGAATTTGCTTCTTCTAATGAATGTAGTTTTATTGTTTTTATTCTATCAATTTGTTGTCAATTAAGTGAGAACGATAATGAAAGGAAATTGAAGATCAAAATTGTAAAGCAGCTTTATTTGTCTCCATTGTAACATTTTTCAACTATAGCGATTGATTGAAACTCATATATTTATAGTGAAAACTGACACAAAATATTCAAGAATTTTCAATTTACTATATTGTGTTTTGATTTTTCTACTGCAACTTTTTGTCCCCTGTTTATTATTGATAGTGATAAAACAATGGCATGTTTAGTGAAGTTCTATTTCAAGAAATAATAATTCGTACTCAATGTATTTCTAATTTTTATGATTGAACTAGTTTATTACCAACTAGAGGTGTGAATAGATCTTCCCAGGTCGAGCATTACGACGACCTGATACGGCCGTATACGTTAACGTATACTACCGTTTTATAACGTTTCCGACCGTAAATCGCCGTAATTTGACGTTTTGGCCTGCACCGTATCACGGCCGTATATCGCCGTGTCGCAAACGGTTACTAACGGTCGTAACGTGGTCGGATATTTCAGTAACCGACCGTATACGATCGTTTATGGCACGATGCAAAACGACCGTAATACGGTGCATACCAAACGGCCGTGTACGACACAAGTTGATCCACCTGGGTTTCACTGAAAGAGTTGTTTTAAGAAAGAAATGAAATCAACAACATATGTTACTTTTAATAATAAAAGTAATTATCTTTATTTAATTTACATATCTTTTTAGTTTTTGTTTTCTCACTAAGTTAAATAAATTTACAACCAAATCCCGATGAATAAATTTATCAGAAAATTTAAAATTTTCTAAAATATCAAGAAAATCTTCTTGTTCTTCCTTTGAACGAATGCTTTGATGTGTTTGAGTATGCCTTTGTTGAATTAGATCATGAAGATTCAGTATATTGACATTTATTTTATTCAGTTCATTCTGCAAAGGATTGACGAAGTTTTCAAGATCAATTTCATTGATTTCATTGTTCTTCAATTTTCTTTTTAAAACAGAAATTTCATTTTTCATTAAATTCCAATCTTTATATTGGGGTTTATAAGCATTCATATTTTTCAATAATGGTTCTATATAATAGAAAACAAATAATTTTACAAGATCAAATGAATAATTATAACATTCTGAAATATCCATTCTAATTTTTAGAGATTGAAAAGATCCATCCATTTCAACATTTGTTTTTTGTAAATTATTCATTTCTTTTTTCATTAAAGCGTTCGTTTCATGTAAATTATTAACTTCTTTTATCATTGCAGCATTTTTTTCTTGTAAATTTTCCATTTCTTTTTCCATCTCATTAAATTTCATTATTATTTTATGACATATTTCATCCACCAAGCACGATTGTTCATGATCTAATTTATTACGTGTTATTGTTTCAATTAATTTGTTAATTAACAATGAAATACATGTTAAATCATTAATGTTTATTTCTTTGAGACGTCCATAACATTCTTTGATAAGTGTTGTTAAACGTTCATTTTTTTGAATACCATAATTATCTATTATTGGTGCAAGAATATCAACAAATTGTTCATAGTCAAAAAAAAATGTAAATTTTTCCATGATCTAAAACGACAGAATTTTTAAAACTAATCCCTTTAATTTAATAATTTATTTCCTTACCAAACAAGAAATAACAAACGAACTATTACGATAAATATCTTGACATATAATAGTAAATAAATAGATCTACAACAAATAAAGGCTTATATGGGTATTCTTTAAGAAAAACGAACGAAATAAGGGAAGTGTGAATCGTTATGGAGGACACCAATAATCCATGATGACGGGCCAATGAGAATCATTGTTTGTAAAGTCTGCAATACCCACGTTTTATCACAAAATGTAATATGACTCCCATTGACATTGACTCACCATTATGGAATTTGGGTGTCCCCGATAATGGTTCACATTTTTCTCCTTATTTCGTCCTTTTCCTTAAACGGTAACCATAGACATCATTTCGGGTATTTTTTCCAATATTTATGTAGCATTGGTACGTCCATCTTTGTCAATAGAAGTCATTAAAAGTATAGCACAATCAATGTTCATAATAAGAATAGATCTTTTTACGTCTAAAAAGTTTATTTATTTATTCAAGGACCCTAGAAGGAAAAAAAATATATATTTGAGTAGACCAATATCTGCTTAATCGAAAAATATCAAAATAATTTTGACATCTTAAAACGTAGTTGAGTAACTTGCTGTAGAATAAAGCTGATTGAATTTGTTCTTATTATGATCATGTTTATAATAAGAACATGCAGCGAAGAACTCGTTAAAATTTAAAAATTACTACACAAGATTTTTCACTAACACAACTTCAAAATTTTTGAATACATCAATGACAGAAAATCTTCATTAGTATCCAGTGGGTTTTAATGTTAATCCTATTAATACACAAAATGAAATAGAATCACATGATTAAATTAATTTCTATGATTCTATATTTAATTTAATAGTACTTAACATGTGTAAGTCTTATATCATCTATATAGAATTTGAATTTATACTTTTAAAACTATTTTGAAACATTTTCAATAAATTTCACAATTAAAACTTGTCTATTTAGTATATTTTGTGTATTTTCTAAACAAATACGCTCTGTTATTAGATATTGATTTACATATTTTATCATACGAATATTTTGTTTTAATATCTTTCATTAAAAGTATATCTATTAGATTGTATTAAAACTATTCTTAAATGAATTTTTCATGAAAGTTATACAACCACTTTATTCATATATATAAATATGAGATTGATAATCTAAAAGAAAATTAGAAACAATTATTTAAAATATAAATAATATTTTCCATTGTTGCTGATGAAATAAATAAATCTCTTTTTTTTTAATAATCTTGTTGTCATTTTATGTAATTCTAAAACAAATGGATGATTCTTATTGTTTTGATATAAATATCATTTATTTGACAGATGATTTTTTATTCTTATATTTATTTATGATAAGAATTTTTTTATGGAATAATCTTTTCTTTAATGATAGCTTTGAATAAGATGAGAATTCTATAGAGAATTCTTAAAAGTAACAATAAAAATATAATTATTTTCAAAAATTGATCATTAATTTAATAGATACAACAAAGAAAAAGGTTTCAATATAAAGAAAATTATAAATAGAGTAAAATGATATATATAATTAGTTTCATTTGAATTGGCTATTTCTATTCGGTAATTTGTTTATTTATGTTTTTAAATAAGAATAAAGCATATCTGTCGCAACTAACATGAGAATTTCAGTTGAAATTGAAATTCATGACAAAATAATGATAAAAAATTCCACTATCACAGTTTCGATGAATAATAGGCAGTTTCTTAGTAAAGTAATGTTTCACAGATAATGTTTAAGAAATGCAATTAATAAAATATCTTAGTTTAAATATGACTTAATTCTTTTCAATATTTTGCATAAAACTGAAAGTAATTTCTTTTTATTTGGTTCTCTTTATCTCTTTTGTAGTCGATCTATTTCATTATAATTAATGAAAAGTAATTATGCATAGATACTATTCGAGAAAATACATCTAATAGGGTGAGATGGTAGTATCTCTTTTCAGTTTTTTATACAATAAAAAGAACTTCTCTCGAATAACTCATATACCATATTAAATGTTAGATATGTTATAATATAAATCGTATTGTTGTATCGAAGAAATATTGAGTGATTGATTCTTCTGAAGTAACATATTTCATAATTGAAGAGTTATGATTTCATTTTTCATATTACAGTCATGCCAGAAAATATGTTTTAAGGAAACTAATATTTTTTTATTGGTATTTTACATTTTTATTCATATATGTTCGTATGTAATTTCTAATAAACTTTTATTCATTTACGCTGAATTGCATTTTTGTCTTAGATGCAATTCTATCATATGAATATCGTTAATGAAACATTATAGTTGTATTTTTAAAAAATTTTATACAGAAAAGTGACAAAATGCACAATGAGAACTGAAATGTATAGTAATATTATGAATGTTCCTAAACTAAAGATTCATATGCATTATCTAAATTATAAATATTAAGCTCAAATAATATTTCATTTGGTAGACATAGAATCAACAAATTTTTTTTACATATAAGTAGAATTAATATTTATCATCAATAACTGATGAATAATTGTACAAAATGATTAATGAGAGCCGTATTACCATAGGACATTTTCGACATGTTAAAATATGGACTGATCTTTTTAATTTGCATTTTTGCTGATAATTTATATTTTTAAATTGAAAAAATTGGCTAAAAGTCGTTATGATGTTATTGCTCGGCAATCTATTTTGATGTTTATAAATGTGTGCAATCCATGTTCAACAAGATCAAGAAGTGGATAAGCAATTATCTCTATTGAATTTCTAACAATATTACGGATTGATCTTCTTGATATCCGTAATTCTCAATAAAAAGCAGTTTTTATGTTTAGCGGCTCACATTTTTTTAGAATCCAACAATAGGAAAGAGTTGTTTCAAGAATCACAATGTGATTTGTTTAAAATGAAGAATCAGATGATAAATATTGCACAAAAGAAATCCAAGTTCTTACACGACTATAGTGATACTTCTAAAGAATTCATGATGTTTCTTTTGTTTTCAATGGAGAATCGCTGGATTTTTTTGACATCATAAAAATCATAGACAAATCTGAATGACAGCAAACAATTTTATGACTTAATTGTATATTAAACTAGCGCTACTTTGTTCTGAAATTGATGTCATAAATCTGTAAGGACAATTTTCATTTGTAAAACAAACTGAAAATATTTGAAAATAGTTGTCGAGTCTAATCATGAAGGAATTTTTCAAACTCATTTGCTTGATTTAATTAATGATATTTGCACTAAATATTTTTTTTTAATAGTTGTTTGACATTGGAATTCACAGATAACTCAAATAATTTATGTATACAATAGTAATGCTATCTTATTATTAGTTCTGGTTGTCATTCGAGTACTTCTTTCATATTACTAAAAATTTTAATATATATATGTCTTATATCTGCAACATTTATGGATCATTCTTTTCTTGAAAACCATCATTCGGATAGCATTTTATGTCAAATAATTATTATAATGACTAACTACAATGTGCATTAAAATTCGTAGAATATTTGCATGATTGATTGATAGTAGTAGTTTTATCTTATTTGTCTTTTTTCGATTATCTTATTTAAATTACTAACTACGAAAACAATTCTTAACACGCTATCGGACTAGACTTTAGAATGCTACTTTAATATTCGATAATATGAATTAAGAGATGTTCTGTAAAAACTCGATAAAAAAAAGAATGAAATTGACAATATAACTTTAAACCTGACTACTCTTCTTAACAATTCATAATCGAGATGTAAATAGTTCGCCTAGCTTCAATATACATCGACAGTTTTATTACGAGTTACAGTATATTGTTTTCGCTTTAACTTCTAATATTTTTGATATGATTCGAAATAGATTGATTGATGAGTCATAAAACGTATATCAAACTTGATTAATTAACATTATAACAGCAAACATTTAAAATGCATCTATTTCAGTGATTATTACGCATGAATAATATTGGCATATGTTTCTTACTTCTTTGAAAAATAGATAAATAGTATAGAGCACAATGCTAATCTAGCAAAATAGATTGCAACCGACATGAATTATTCGTAAAGTTCCATTTTTGAAATGCGTAAGAGATTATCACATAAGTCTGAATCTATTTGTATCAATTCAATTCATGTACAAGAAATTGTGTTACTTTTTGACAAATGAAAAACTTCTTTTCAATTTATTTCTCATTAAATACGCACGATTTTCTAAAAATAAATTATTTCTCTATTGAAAATATGATCTTCCCTATAGGGACCATTAAAAACTCTATGATCAACTTTCATTAGGCATTATGATTGCACTGAACACATTTTTCTGTTTCATAACTTTCTTGCTCATCGTGTAGCCTTAAAACAAATATCAAAAGAAGATAGAGTCATTGGTCCTAATTCGATCACCTTTTTCTTCTCGCGACAAAAACGCAATAACTTCGTTATTTTTCGTTCATTTTTAGTTTCCGGGGTAGAGAAAACATTTCTCTACAAGTCTATGAAATTTTTATCGAAAAATAATTAATTTTCGATGAGTAATACTGATTATAATGAACCCGCCCAAAAACTTTTTCCCGTTCTGTCGTTGTCCTAATGTGATCCAGAGACCGAAACGGGGCGCATTTTTGACTCCCCGCCCCGCCCAGTCGAAAATTTCTTCACCCGGCCCCGCCTCGCCCCGCTCGTTTTCTTCCTTTTGCTTCGCCGTCCCGCCCCGCCTCGTCAAAATTTTATTGTGCTTCCCCGACAACCGCCCTCTCCGTCAAAATTTTATATTACTTCCTCGATCCCCGCCCCGCCTCGTCAAAATTTTATATTTCTTCCCCGTCGCCGTCCCGCCCCGACTTTTCACTTTTGCTTTCAGTATTTTTCGATGTAAAAGTGACAAATAAGACAGTTTTACAGAGTCTACTTCACTCTTCCTTGCCCCGTCCCTGCCCCGCCCCGACCTAAAATCTTTTTTAGTCGCCCCGTCCCCGCCT